GAAAAAAGAACTAACTCATTGTCAATGTGTGTATACATGTACATGTGAAGGGGGAAAAAACCCAAACAAATAATGAAAATAGTTAACAGACTTGAGTCCATGGAAAGTTGTCTGGCAAGCCAAACTGAAGAAGTACTCAAAATGTTCTACAATTTAAGCCAAATGCTTAACGTTTTGGTCAGAAGAACTAAGTCATTTGAAATAATAAGGATCAACATAAAGTACTAGTAGTTACACAAGGTTATCTGGAGAAACCTAAGCCCTAACTGTTCCAGACTTTTTCACCCATACCCTTTTGACTGCTGGCTGAAAGCAGTCTGCATCTCCAGAATTTCCATCGATGCTGCTTGGCTCACCATTTTGTTCATTTTGTGCTTCTCTAAAAACAAATAAAAAAAATTAATGTTAAAAAGCACAAGCAGAACACCACCCCAACTCCATCTTACCACCTTGGAAAGCCCTGTTTCTGCACCTTTGCATGTATACTTAACTGTTTCCTGAGACCTGCTGCCAGGACCATGGCACTGTGATGGTTAAATCTCTTGATGATGGCAGCATTACTATTCTCCTTTATGGATTTAGAATTAGAAGTAGATGGCACAGAGGAAATGCCATAACCCTATGAAAAACAATTTAGCAAATTAAAAATTAAAATTCTGATTTTATATGTAGAAAAGACATGCTTCGTTGAAAAAGTTTCTGAATGATGGGACTTTGTTAATTCTGAGTATTACTAAGCATTTACGGGTAAACATTTAAAAATAAATGACATTATACACATGAAAAATTAAGAAATACCACTAACTCCTTTTATCATGACCAAAAAAAAATCTTAATTTTAAGCTCTGTATTTTTTTAAGAGCAATTTTGGATCTAGTTAGCAAAACATTAAAAAAAGGAACAGAATACAGTGGAAAAAAGCATGGACTTTGGAATCAGATATGAATTCCAATTCTAGCTTTATCACTTTTCCAATATTAGTCTAGGCAAGCTCTATAAAATGAGATATTGGAGAATTAAGCTGGATAACATTTTCAAACATGTATTGAGTGCGTGCTATGTGTTAGCACTTATAGACAGTAAGTTGATTAACACCTTGCGCCAAAGGAGCCAAAATACTAGCTAGTGAGATGCTGGGCTATAAGCTAGTATGTAGATCAGAGACGTATTATAGAGGACTTTTTGATGAACTGAATGTTGGAAGAGAAAGAAGAGGAGAATCAAGGAGACTATTAGGTTTTGGCTTGAGCAACTGAGTCCATGGTGGGGGGGGGAGGGAGAGAGGGAGAGAGAGAGAGAGAGAGAGAGAGAGAGAGAGAGAGAGAGAGAGAGAGAGAGAGAGAGAGAGAGAGAGAGAGAGAGAGAGAGAGAGAGAGAGAGAGAGAGAGAGAGAGAGAGAGAGAGAGAGAGAGAGAGAGAGAGAGAGAGAGAGAGAGAGAGAGAGAGAGAGAGAGAGAGAGAGAGAGAGAGAGAGAGAGAGAGAGAGAGAGAGAGTGTGTGTGTGTGTGTGTGTGTGTGTGTTTTTTTTAGATGAGATCGGGAAGATCCAGGAAGAAACAGGTTTATAAGGATGGGAAAAGGATGGGAATCAAAAGTTCCATTTTGGACATGTTAGGTTAAGGTGTCTGTGAAATACCTAGGTGAAGATATCAAGTAGGCAGTTGGATATGTGTTTTTAGAGTTCTGGGATTAGACAGACCAGGGCTATTTGGGATTCATCATTACATATTTAGTACTTGAAGCAATGAAATGGAGAGAATGAATTCAGAAGGAGGCCCAAGACAATATCCTGGGACAGTTACAACAACTCGAGGATGACAGGGAAAGAAGAGGCACCAAAGGAAAAACTGAATCAATCGACGTTTCCATTAAGGAGATCAGTTATATAAATTTTATATATCCATACAAGGGTGTACTATGCAGGCACTAAAAAAAAATTAATACTAATAGTAACAACTATAACTTATTGAACAGCTACTGTGTACCAGGCTCTTTTAACTCTTGTAGCAATCCTATCACGTCAGCGCTTTTTTCCCCCCTGCATTTTAAAAACTGAGATATAACTGAAATACAGTAAGTTTAAGGAATACAATATGTTGATTTGATACATTTAAACATTACAATATGATTACCAGTATAGCTAATACCTCTAATATCATGTCATGTAATTAAGCCCTAATCATTTAACAACTTTGAAATTTGTAATACAGTACGTTAACTGTGGTGTGCATTAGAATTCCAGAACTTATTGACCTACTAGTTGCAAGTCTGTATCCTTAAACATCTCCCCAATTTTCCTACAGCCCCCTACAGTCGGAATTATTAATCTCATTTTGAAAGAAAACTGCACTTAGAAATGTTAACAACAGACTTTAAGCCAGGTAATTTGGTTTTAAAATCTATGTACTTAATAACTATGGGATATTTAGCTTGAACTGATACTGGTAATAGGCAAAGTAAAGAAGAAAGTTATACACCTGCATGTAATAATATTTACCATCATTTTTATTAAAAAAAGCACTATATTTTTTTTCTCATCATATTAAGTATACTGTAATCTCTAAGCTTCCCTGAGCTTTATTTTTTAAGAATGTTTAAAGAGGGCCATGTTTGTAGTGTGTTGAGATTCACCGATGAAGTAACTAACTGAGTGCTGAGAATTACCAAGGAAAAACTGAATTTCATTTTGGAAATGACTCACCTGGGCATCAAGGATTATTTTCTGTTATTTAGACTGTAGGATAAAATTTTAACATTGGTTTTCTCACCTGGTGAGTAAATACACTAAAATAAGAGGAAAATGTTAGGGAGGAAAAAAAAAGATAGAAAGATATGAGCATGTGTACATGGCCAGCAGAAAAGGAGCCAAAAGAAGGGCAAGAAAATTAAAATATAATAAAACATAAGAGTGTAAAGAACATAACTGAGGAAGGCAAGTTCTTCCTAGCCTAGAAGATAGAGGCAGGGATAGAATTAGCCTTGATTAGAAGGGATCATCTCTTTCTCTGTGATTGGATAAATGTATAAGTCCAGAGGCATGATGTTGAGATAAGCAGCTCACACTTGACAGTCTAGCTGTTAAAACACACTGTGGCTAGTGTAGGGTAAGGGTCATGAGCGTGCTCAAGGTTTGGCAAATAGTGGGCAATCAACAAATGTTTGTCTTTCTCTTGTCTACTAATACTTACCCACATTTCTAGAGACTAATGTTAGCTAGAGCATAAAGCCAGAGTCATCAACATGTTAAGCCTTCATTATTACCTAGAGAACCACTGGCGGGGATAAGCTAGAAAAATTCTTTTAAAAAAGTTTTAGCAACTCATATAGGCATTTCAGTTCTACAAGGCAACTTTTTAGTATATGTGCTGCCGAAGCGAGCACAGTACAAGGCAATTTTAACAGCAAACAGTGCTACTGAAAAGCACTTCTGATAAATCACTCCAAATAACTACTTTGTTTGATTTACATTCTCGCAAGTGGGACAGCTAAACTTAAGGCAATTTTAGAACCATAAAAATGTTGAAGACTAAGAAAAGACTCTTCTCTCATAAATTCTTTTATTACTACTTACTTCATCTAATGGTTTATCTTCCAGAGCTGTCAGATCAAGTAGTGGATTTTTCACTCCTAATGAAACCATTGTTTTTAACCCTAGAAAATCAATGAAATAAAAGGTTGATCAATTCTTCCTTTTCTCAGAAATTAAAAAATTCACTAACAGCACTAATGATTAGAGAGCAGCAAATTAAATGCTAGAGTGTGTCAGGAAAAAACAGTTACCTTTTTCATCTATTTTGGCACATTCTGCAAACAGGTCCTTTGACCCTGTATTCAGCCGGTCCCTGTGAAAATAATGAGACTGAAAAAATCGTGTCCAGAATTCCTTTTCTGTCATGTTGTGGGGAACGTTTTCTGCATATTTCATTTTTACTGTGGAAGAAAAACCATAATAGTTACATTTTGAATTTCCCTTTCTTAAAACCTCTCAAATTAGTTGAAATATAGACTAATAGCAAAAACTAGATTATGAAACTGCTCAACTTTATATACTGTATATAATAATCTAATTGTAAATATGAAATATAACTTGAGAGGATACCTTTATGAATTCTAACAAATTACAAACAAAATCTTATTTTGTACCAAGAAAATTAACAAGTTTCAAAGGTTTAGTAGAAACACCAAGGATCTTGGCGTCAGATCTGAGTTTGCTTGTTTGACCATTTATATATGTACACTTTTAATCCAAGACACTATGTTAGGTGTTGGGGAAATAAAGACCTCAAAACCCAGGAGATTAACAGTTCAGCACTCCAGAAGCTCACAGTCCAATGAGCAAAGAGGTTAAGAGCATGGTCTCTTGAACCAGAGAGCCTAAGTTTAAAATTCAAGGTTTGCCACTTACTGTCTGTTTAACATTGGGCAAATTATTTACTCTCTCTATATCTTGGTTTCCTCATCTGTAATATGGGAGTAATAATACGATCTACTTCATAAGGTATTTGTGAAGACTAAATGAGTTAATATACATAAAGGCCTCAGACTAGTGTCCGGCACATAACTAAATACTATACAATTATAGTTATTATCAGAGAGATATGAAAACATTTTCATTACAATGTGTTAACTCTTTGAGACAGACACAGGACCCTATAGAAGGAAAGGGGAGAAGGCTTATATTTGTCTGAAGAAATCAGGATTTTATAGAGGTAGTAATGAAGCGATGCTTGAACTGCGCCCCGAGGGAGAGGAATGTTTCCTAAGAATGAAAGGGGCAGGAGTGAAGAAGTGGAAAGATAGAACAGCATGTGGCTTAAGAGAGCACTGTATGGTCAGAAGAATAACTGAAGCAGTGGCTCTCAACCTTAGTTGTACATTAGAAATCACTAGGGCTGGGGTCAAGACATTTATCTTTTTAGAATCGTTTCTGCAAGGAAAATGATTTGAGTTAGAAAGGTCACTCTGGAGTCAGCATGAAAGATGATTTGAGTTAGTGCTATAGAGAGACTCATTTATCGATGCCTCTGGAGCATGTCATCTTGCTCAAGTATGTTTAAGGGTAAATAAAGTTTAAGAACCACCAATGAAAAGAATGGGAAAGTCATCATACCAAGGAATTGATAACAGCACATTATATATTAAACCCTAACACCTACCGTGCGTCAGGGACTAAGTAAGGTATTCTATATGTACATATTTTTGCACATGATCAGGAATAAAGGTAAAACTTTTTGTCTTTCATTGATATTTACTGAATTCATCCAAACAAATATTTTAAGTACCTAGAATTGATTCTTCTTACCTGCTGGATAGGTCCTAAATATGGACTCAATGATATCAGAGGTTAAATTATATCTCAGACCATTACATCCATCTGTTTGGGGCCGGACATCAGCCTAAAATAAAGACCATATATCTATATATACACACACATGCACACACACATATATGTATGTGTGTATACATATTCATTAAAATATTGGAGGAAGATGTCTATGCATGTAACAGACACTGGACAAAGGTGGAAAAACAGATTTTCTGAATGAACTACAGAGACAGAGATAAGTCCCTCACTTTTACTTTGGCAAAGCACCAGGCCTCAAAGAAGCCTGGGCTGATTTCACATAAATTTAGTAACCTATAAAATCTGCTTCTTTGAAAATCCAAATGGTCAAATAGGCCTATTTACATGTGGCGACAGGCAGATAGCTAGGGGAGCTTTAAACAGAAACTGTACAGTTACCAAAATTATTATAGATTTTGGTTACTATATAAATATCTGACTGTTTCTTTAAGGCTTTATTAATTCAATTCACTACTAAGCATCCAGAAAGATGCCAAACATATAACTGGTACTCAAATTTTTGTTAAATGTATAAATATCTCTTCAGTTCCTCCAGAGTACAGATTAACTGAATCCCATTTCCTAATTCCATAGGTAAGGTATTTTCAATTTTTCTCTAATATGCATTTTATAAATTTCACTTTTTTTATATGGTCATTATATTTAGCTTGGGATTTAGTATAAGTAAAATACAGCAATCATAGAAAAGGTATCAGAAAGCCCTAAATTTAAAAGTATTAGGGGAAGTAAGTATTAGTCCAATTGCTAAAAGATTCTCTTTCAAAAACCCATTTGATATCTAGCATGCGAAGGTCAAGTCCAAAAACCAAGAAAATATAACTAACAAAAATCTAAATTTAAAAAATGCTGTATGTATTTAAAAAATATTTTAGAATACCATGAATACTGAAGTCTCCATTAATTTACTTTAAGGAAATGCTAAACTTTATAAAAGAAATGGCATTGTTAACAAATCATCAGGGCTTTCTCTTTTTTCCTGCCTTCTTCAGAAATCTAGAAGAGTCACATACCAGAAATGCTGCAGAAATGCCAACATCCTGCTTATGATTGGATGTGGAAGAACTCTCTGTTGAGTTCATATTTAAACGATTGGCCCAAAATTCCTCAGCACTGATCACTTGGCTTACAACAAGATCTTTATAAAGCTGAAATAAAACAGGATCTTCTTGCAGCATTCTGCAGATAAAACATATTGAACATACTGAACTTCTAAAACAAAACACCATTTAGGTAACATTTTAAAGACTTTAACAACATAAAATTCTGAAGCACACAACTGTCATTTTGTGATTATTTGAGCAGCAAAAGTCATGTAGTTCATTTGTTAGTAATTACAAGCAAAAACAATTTTTTTGAGGAACAAATGAAGTGGAGATAAATGGAAGTCTGAAGAAGCAAAGACAAACTCTTTGAAGGCATGGATTTGATCTTATTCCTTTCTATATCCCAGTAACATAAAGGTCATTGTCTCTGTATTTGTATTGCACTGTATGTATTCTTTTTCACAAACAAAGGTGAATGGGGAAGCGAGAAGGTACGCTTGAGATTTTCCAGCAAACAATTTTTCGCAGTGATAAGTACTCAGAGCCATAAGCATTGATGGCCTGAAAGATACTGGTGATGGAATAATTCACTGTATCAGAAATTCTCACCATTTTACATGCTTTCTCAACTTTTTAACAGTATGTTTCCTTTCAGGTTTCTTATTCATAAACATACTTCCAATAGCTTATCTTCTCTGTGAAAGAGAACTGGGAAAGGAATTAAAGAGACCTTAGCACCTTTAAATCTCAGTTCTATTCCTAATTAGATGTTAGGCTTGAGATAGTTAACTTCTGAGGTTATGCATTCTCATTTGCCCAAAGCCAAATAACCAGTAAAATGCTAAATTCGAGGACGAAACACACAGGTAAAGATACTAAAGCCTGTGTATTTTCCTATACCACACTACTGAAGCACAAGGAGAGAGAAATAGCAAACTATTACTTTACTATGAGAACCTAGTGTCTCTTCAAAAGGCTATTCTTTTCCTCCTTCACCTGTTTTTCTCTTCAAGTTCTTTATTTGCTTTCCTCTTGAATTTGGGCAGCAGCTGCTGAAGAAGGTCTTTCACTGCATCTCGCTCTTTGACTGCTGTGCTTTCATTGGAAAAATGGAAGTTAGTTGTGTCCCCTGCATGCAGGACCAGCTGAAGCTGAATTTTAGCTTTTCCTTCTGGACTGATTTTCTGGCCTAAAATAGAGGCATGAGGTTCATCAGGTGAGGACAGACTGTGGAAACTGCCATATAATATGTTACTTCTTTTGCAGAAATGTACTTTTCTCAAATAATTCCATACATGTTAAATGTATAATTAATGTAAAATTATTCCATACAAATAATTCCAGAGCATGGTTCAATGAATTCACTGCTAAGACTCTGCTAGCTTCTTCAGTATCCTTTCTGTGTAGCATATCTCACCCACTGCTTCCACCTCCACACAGTAAAGTACTTTTGTTTTCATTCAACTGAGGCAGATTGCATTAAAGTTTTCTAAACAGCCAATTAGAAGTCTAGACTCCACCTTGAACAGCTGCTTCCAATCAATAATACAAATTTGTCATGATTCAAAAAACTCCAAAATATAGCCCATGGCTTATTTATAAATTGCAAACATGTAATTTTACATTTGAGAGATTTGTTGTCACCACTTTAACCAAGTGATCAAATTAGCATCGTTAAAAGCTGGACAACCTGACACAATGGGCTTTCTGAAATGACAGCATAGGAAGTAAATGCCACCGACTATGCGTTGTTCTTGCTGAAATGTTTAACTTGAGTATTGTCAAGGCTGTAGACCTGACTTTCAGTTTGTAAGAAATACAGGTATACAGGAATAAATTAAAACCTTCAAGAGACAATCAGACATAATTAGAATGTGTGATATTCTACAAACCTATACTCTTAATGAACAGACTAACAAAAATTACAACTACATATGTGAACCTAAACTGAATATTGATTTTAAAGTCACAACTCTAAGAAACATTATTGGGACAACTGGGGAAATCTAAAAATGGTCTGAATATTGTTAAAATTTTCTTGGTGTGATAATATAAGCAAAGTGTACACAAACATAAAAAGCAAATATGGCAAAACAGTAACTGTAGTATTTAGGTGGGATGTTATACAGGTATATGTTCTACCATTAAATTTTTCCATAACTTTAAAGATTTTCATAATAAATTGAGGCTGGGAATGTCAAACTGTCTCTACATAATGAAGAACTTGTATTTTCAAAGAGTGGGCCTCTGTGGCAAGTAGTGCCTGTCTTTGCAAAGGAAACAGAGATGGAAGGGCTTTGTCCCATTAAATGGGTGACTCATGGTAGCATGAACATGCTGCCTAGAACTCTCAGCTCAATCCAACCTAAACAGAAATTTTTTCAATGAAGATGCTGCTTCCGAACCAACATTTTAGATGAAATATCTTTCTGCCAAATGCAGCATAATGAAACAATATACACTGTCAGCCAGCCTATTCCATTTTCCTATTTCCCCAGAACAAACTACAATTCCTTCCCAGGCATCTTTTCTCAGTCACTGCTTTATCTTTGCTCTATCTTAGCTCTTGCCCTTGAGTGGCCTACTTCTGAAGTTTTTAAACTAACTGCTGATTTTCACCTTAGTAATTTATTATTGATAACTTTCAATGGTCTATTTCACAAGTGGACATTTTGTCAAATATTCAACTTCAAACAAAAACTGATCTGGTGCAGATCTAGATTTCTATCTGTGCTCTCCTCTCCAACAGCTGAGAAGTGTGGAGAAATAGGAGGTAGGCATTATTTTTAATTGCATGCTGTGGGTATCACAATGAGTGTGTTTTGCAAAAGCTATAGAGCTAGCTTCCCATTTAATAGAAATACTAATATAAGCAGTTCCTAATTCATGAGTTTATTCTAGCACAAATGTTGGTTTGTAAGACTAATGTCGAAAATTTGGTAAGGCATTTCCTCTCAGAAACATATTTTAAAACAAGGTAATCTTACTGGAACAGTGCACAAAAGACCAGATGCTAAGGTGGTACTGAATTATGATGAATTTTAAACAGTATTTCCTTTTGAAAATTAAGATTCTGAGTTATTTCAGTGGAGAAACATGAGGATCTTGGTCTTTTCCAGCAGCAAGCAGAGGTAAGTCCTTAGGGCAAATGTTCATACACGAAAGACATTTGTAAACCGAACACTTGAAGTTGAGGGTTGTCTATTTTTCAGGGTGTTATCTTCCTTGAAATCTACACACCATTTTTATCTAGGAGAATCTTATACCCAGGAAAATAAATAAATCCGTTTTACTTGTCATAGTTAGATACTGCAATTTGTCAAGGACTTTGTTGCCTAGACTCCTCTGGGGTCTCTCTTATTCAAAATCTTTAGAGTAAAGGTTCTAAATCCCAGGATTTGCTTATTATTATTATTTAGAATGTAATTATTATTGAGCTACAAAGTACCAAGCCCCCTGGTAATAATTCAAAGTTAATCTTTGAATTATTAAAATTTGGAAAGAGAAGGGTATTTAATTTTTGCCTTCATACTTAAAAACCGTAAGAAAAAGGATATAAAAAATTATGCTCTGCATTTCTCCCATCTATATTCAGGATAAAATTGAGTCTATCTTCTCAACAGATGATGGCCACATAACTAAAGATTAATTAGACGATTAATAAGACAACTTGATTAAATGATACAATTTTATTAAAGGGCAAGCTGACATCATCTATCAACATATTAAATGCGTGAACCATCTGAACCAGTAAATCCACCGTTGGGTAGTACTTACATTTAATATCCGCATACATGTGGCTGATTGTAAATCTATCTTTGCCTTCAGGTGCCCAAGCAATTCTTTCTGCCATGAGGTATAGAGCTCCATCCTGCTTCTTTTGACGGACCTTCTTTACAATCAGCAAAACTTCTTCAGATGAAGTTGCCATGATGGCTAGAAGGTGCTAATAGAGACAAAAAGATTTTACATCTCAGATTATGGTCAGATTTATTGACTTCTAGAGTCCCTTCCAAATCTAAAATCTAAATAATAAACATGGGGAAAAAAAGTATTTTCCTTCATTCAGAGATGAAGATAAAGTTGTATGGGATTATTTCTTCAAGATCAAATTTTTTCTCGTATCACAGGGGTAAATTTATGTGTTTATAACATCCGGCAGTTTTAAAACCATTTCTACATATGCTAATTAAAGTATTTTAAATTTATTTTTATTTTCCTCAGTTAATATTCTTAAATCTTAAATGCACAATTTGACTACAAATGGGTGGTCTTTTATGTAATCTACATTTAGAATTGTAGAACTTTAGAATTACACAGGGCCCTAAACAATATTTAGTTCAAATTGTTTCAAATGAAACAACTATTGGCCCCAGGGTTTGTGTGACCTTCCCAGAGCTGAAACCATACCCACATTTCCTAACTCTTGATCTAGGTTTCTTCCTGTATGCTTAAACAAAACAAAACAGAACAAAACAAAACAAAACAAAACGAACCAAGTCTATGGCCATGCTACCCTGAAGGCGCCATATCTCATCTGATTTCAGAAGCTAAGCAGGGTCGGGCCTGCTTAGTACTGGGAAGGGAGACCACCTAGGAATACAATGTGCTATCGGTATTTAAAATTAAACAAACAAAACAGAAGCAATATAGCTTCTAAAAAAAAAAACAAACCCAAGAAGTAAAAAAAAAAAATCTTTTTATTAAAATGTTACAAATAACAGCACTACATTTTGGACTGCAGAAGTCAAATCAAAGATTATCTACCTGACTACAACTTTGTTGATTTTCTTATTACTATATGCAAAGCATTAAAATAGGAGCTGGGCAGAAAAAACACGTATGAGTAGGGTTGTCAGATAATATACAAGATGCTCAATTAAATTTGAACTTTAGTATAAACAAATTTTTAGTATAACTACGTCCCGAATATTGGATAACTAAATCATTATGTAAAATTCAAACTTAACTAGATATTCTGTATTTATTTTTACATGCTACGTCTGGCAACTCTTTGTAGAAGACCTTATCTTCAGCAAATTATTTAACAGGGAAATTAATGAATTTTCATAATATAAGGCATATATGATGAGTGCAGTAATACAAACAGGTGACGAGAGTATCTCCCCACTAACTACCACAGCAAAGTATCTGGAAGAGATGCTAATTGCAGTTCCTAAATTTTGATTGGTAGATATTTTAGCGTGATGGTTTTGGAGTTCTGTTGCCCTGAGTTAAATCCCAAACTCACTGTTCGCTAGCTGTGTAAGCTTGGATAAGTTAATCTCTAGTATGAAATAAGGCTATAATACCTGCTTTACTAGGCTGTTTGAGGATCAGAGATAATGTATGCACCAAGCACCTGCAACACAGGAGGCACTCCCTACATAGTAATACCTACTATTAAAACATCACATGGCAAAGAGGGTATTTGTCAGACATATTCAAACGTTAATGTTATGCAGTAATAGTAATATTGAATAAGTAATTTTATTTCAGTGTATGAACACTGTTGAAAAACACCCTACAAATTGTTACATTTTAAAAATATGTTCCTTTATAAAATGTTCATAGAACATTGGCATGGCAACATGGGACAAAACTCAAAGTATGCTACCAATTCTGTGATAGCAAGAATGCTTTCAAGTGTTGTCGAGTTCACCATTTGAGTTTTAAATAAATAATGAATTCCACAGTGAAAAATTCCTGCAGCAACACTTATTAGTTAATTATCATGTACTTTTATGGAGATGTTTCATAATTTACAATACCAACTTTATCTGTCAAAACAATACATTTTAATAAGTTTTGCAGTCCACAAATTCTTATTATGTTTCCTACTTTTTCTTCTCTGTTGGTTCTCCTGGTTCTACTTGATGCTTTTTAGAAGTATGGTAATTTTTTCCATTATCTGATTCCACTGTCTCCTCACTTCCTGGGAGAAGCCTAGTTTTCTTATCTCACGGTTCCTTGGGGGGTCATCACCCATGTCCTCAAATGTTAGGCCATTTTATTGCCATATTGCTCTGGAGGGGGAGGTTTCTTCTCAGTAGTGTAGATCCCTGGAGGTGCTGCACAGTTAGACTTCCATATTTTTGAATTCCTTTGGAGGCTCCTCAGGTACCTGGACTACCTCTCCTAGTCTGCTGAGTGGATTGTAGAGAAAGACTGAGGGAGTTATGCTCTGGAATAGCTGTCTGTTTTGTTTCCACAGTTGCCTGATGACTTTGCCAGATCCAGGGCCCTGTGACTGGTCTCATCTGGCTGGCTGGCTGTTACCTTCCTCACTCAAGGAGCCTGAGCTGCTGCTTCTCAAAGCTGCTAACCAGCTCAGGGTATCCTTCTCCTTGGCTGCCTTGATGGCTATGAGTGATGACCCCAAACTGAGAGAATTTAATTCTTAACACTTCAGATGCTATTTTCCCCACCTTTTAAAAATCAAATGTCTTCAAATGCTCCCTGTATCTTGGCCTAAGAGCCATTTGTATATGGCTAATTTGTAACATAGGAAAAGGCCTTGAGCTTCTCGCCCCACCCCCAACACTTCTCCCCAGTCCTGGGCGTTTTAAACACTCAACTCAAATGCTAGAGGCTTGGGTGTGGCTATCTGGAATATGAGGCTGAAAAGGATTCTGAAGCTGTCTGGGCTCAACAAAGGACGCCATGATTGATGGTGATGCCTGCCATGGGCTGGGATGGAGAAAGTGGTTAACACAAGTGCCACTTGTAAGCTATTTCTGGGAACAATGAATATGCCATCAGTTATTCAAAATAACAGAATTTCTATCTGGATGTAATGAGAAAGTAAGCATTAGGAAGAGTGGCAGACATTAAAAGTAATAGAAATCAGCAATTATAGATCTTTATAATGATATCTGAAAAATAAAAGCTAATTATTTCTTAAACCATCACCTCTTAGGATTAAGGAAAAATACCACTGAATTAAAAAACTAATATTTCTTATTCACTTATGCAGTGATTTAGAAATAAAAAATACAAGTTAAAAGAGTGAAATCTTAAGTCCTCTGAAGTTGACTACCCCAGTTTTGAGTAGCCAAATCTTCCTATTTATAGGTCTTCTTTCTGGCTACTCTACCCCAAATATGGAAAGGAAAAGGGTTGGTGTGAATACATTCATTCAATAAATGTGTATTGAGCCAAGGAGTCTAGGAATTATCCAAAGACGAATATCTGTCAATTGTGATTCTGCTTTGAAAGAGCTTCCAGACTAGTGAACAACATATATGTGTGTTAGTGTATACCAATTACAGTATGTGAAGTCCCAAAAGAAAGACAAAAAATGGTCTAAATTAAGATTCAGTCAGTTTCTTCACACAAGAAGCGTTGTCAAAGGTTTGTCAGATTTTAGGGCAATCAAAAAAAATTTAGGTATAATAAACAAACCAACCAAATGCATAATTCTTGGGTGTTCTATTTGATCTGTTTTGACAATTGTATACACTCATGTATCATTGCCCAAAAGACAAATAACATTTCCATCACCCCTGAAAATTCTCTCATGTTTCTTTCCAGTCAATTTGCTTCCTCTCACCCTCCAGCAAATAATTTCTGATTTCTATCTTCACAAATTAGGTTTTGTCTATTCTACAATTTCATATAAACAAGATCATGTATTCTTTTGTCTCAGCTTTTTGTTTAACCTGTTTTTTGAAAATCACCATATATTACATGTGTCAGTAGTTCATTCGTTTTCATAAGTAGTTGTGAAATGGATATCTTTTAAAAAACAAAAAACAAAAAATGCCTACAGCACCTGGTCTTCCTAGGTGGTCTCCCATCCAAGTACTAACCAGGCCCCACCCTGCTTAGCTTCCGAGATCAGACGAGATTGGGCACGTTCAGGGTGGCATGGTCGTAGACTTGTGAAATGGATCTTAAAAGACAATTTTGACCAAAAAAAAAAAAAAAAAAGAGAGAGAGAGAGAGAGAAATAGGCATTAAAAGCAGGGAAAAAGAGAGAGAGAGAGAGAAATAGGCATTACAAGCAAAGGGAGTGGTCTGGGGCAAAAGCTTGAGACTCTCTTGGAATGGTAAGTAGCCTGCTCTTGATGTAGCATAAAATTCATCGTGGGGATCAGTAGCTATAAAGTTGGAAGGTTAAGATGGAGACAGTGAAGAGCACCACCCTATGTGGTAGACAAGAAAAAACCTCTAAAAACTTTTCAATAGAAATGTGATTTGTATTTTACAAAATTAATCTGTGGGCAATAGGATACTGAAGAGAAGGAACAGAAAGGGTCTGAATCAGGCTGTGAAAATGGACAGAAAGGGACAAAAGGAGTACTGAGGAAGCAGGATGAATAGATGTTATAAGTACTGAAGGAGGTGTCACAGCTGCTTGCTCATACCTCACTTACTGCCACAAGTATAGTGGTGTTATTTACAGAAATAAATAAGAAGGAAAAACGGGTTTGAAAGTTCTGGACATAAGTGTGAGAAGTTGCTGAGTTTATATTATGTGGGCATTTGTAATTGCTGGGATGGAGCCTAAAAAGCTCAGTAATAAATAGGATTTAAAAAATTCCATAGTCTACGGCCATGCCACCCTGAACAAGCCCAATCCTGTCTGATCTCAGAAGCTAAGCAGGGTCGGGCCTGGTTAGTACTTGGATGGGAGACAACCTAAGACCACCAGGTGCTGTAGGCGTAAAAAATAAAAGTAAGGGATTGTAAACTGAGAAGGTCTTTGAAATCTGTGAAGTCAACCAAGGGTTGCCTTGCCTAAAAAAACAAAAACAAAAACAAAACAGAAACAAAAAAACCCATAATCCCATAACCCTAACATCAATTTTCTTATTTTAAATTGTGCTTATCTGTACCCACCTTAGAAATGTAATCCTGAAGCACATCCAAGTTAATTATCTTGTTTTTCACTTTCCATTGAAAATACTTCATGCTGTTTTATAATCTCCATAGTTTTGATATCTATATGTCATATATAAAAAATTAAAATTCTTAATATATAATACTATCTTTTAATTTGATGCCTCTTAAGGTTTAGATTATTGCCCTTTAAAAAGTTTGAAAATCACTGTCTTAGCCAAAAAAGGATGAATTTTGATTCCACACTCTTAAAATTTAAAAACTCTACCTAAAATTTATTGAATTCTTAATAATATGTGCCAGGTATTAGGCTAAGTTCTTTATGGGCATTATCCCAATCAGTTCCCAGTTAAGAATCCTGGGGTAGGTTCTATAATTAGTTACATTCTGTAGATAAAGAAAACTGGGTCTAAGAAATCAAGATGTTTTCCCAATGCATCAAGAAGTCGCAGAACTGGGTTTGAATCTGGGTCAGTCTGATCTTGGAGTTGCACTGAGCTGTTTTGAAAATATCTATAACTGGTGGTTACCTATAGCGATAGGATTACAGATGATTTGAATGTTCTTTTTGTTTTCTGGATCATCTACAATAGACATGTATTTTGTAATGAAAAAAGCAGTTATTAAAAATGTCTTTCCAAAAAGTTTACTCCCTATCAAACCATGTTTAAAAGGTAACATGGGAAAGTATTAGGGGTGTCAGTATAGGTAAGAATTAAAACTATTTATTTTCAATTTCTGTTGTATGAGTATATCATTGATTTTTTACTTAGTTTTAAAACTGTAATTAATAAAGGAATGTGTATTTATGGAACCATAAAATAATATTAATTTTCTAATATTCATTATAATAAACAAATATCAAAATTTAAAAAAACTGTTCATACTATGTAAAATTACACTGCATACCACATAAACCACATTTTAGGAAACATGAATCAAAATCCAAGAAAGATGGAAAGGGAGGGTAAGCGGATGACTACAGAATAATTTTAAGTATATTCATGTATGGAGGAAAAGCAGTGAGCAAGGAGAGCTGACAGAGCAAGTCCCTAATTTACTGGGCTTACAGGTACAAATAACAAGTTAGTTTTGGAAAAGAACAGATAACATTTCTGATATGAAAAGAAAGAAAAAAAGTGAGGACAGAGAAACTGTAGAGCATAAAGCAGATTGATAGAACTGACTTTATTAGTCAGCTACTTTAAATCAACTGGGAAAAACAAAGCCTCCTATGTACAGCATGTAAAACCACTAGTATTAAAACCCATTTGTGGGGAAACTTCGAAAATTAATCAGAGATAAGTTATTGAACATAGAGCATGACCAATCAACTGTCTCACAGCAACCTTGCTTGGCAAATTTCCCTGGTCATCTGTAGCACCTCTGTTAATTGTATTAGGACCAGTTTTAGGAAGTTTAATAGATCCAGTGGGGCTATCCTACAATAACTTCTGATTTCTAGATATTTCTTGAAGATGGTTGGTTGAGTAGCAAGAACTTCTTCCCCATTGACCTCTAAGATCCACAGAATATTTCGTTTATGAAAAATACTGGTGTAGTTACATTTAAAGAAGTTGGCTTGATGAAGATCTGGCTTTCCTTAAAAGATTGACCTTACGAAATGATTTGCCACAAGACTTCTTTAAATAGCAAGATCTTCCAGTAAAGGCATTAATTCATTTGCAGTTAAAAATTCATTTGACTGAAGCTAAATGTACATGCCTTGTTCTGAGTCTTTTGCATATTCTCCTCCCCATTAACTAACTTCTCATTTTTTTGGTCTGCTCTAAGTTTCAAAGTTACTAGGCAAGGTCTCCTATTTTTCTCTTTCTAGCACTTATCACAACTGGAAAAGAACAGAAAACTTTTCTGATATGGAAGGTAAGGAAGAAAAGATAAGACTGAGAAAGTGTAAAGTGGACCATAAATTAGATTAATAGAATAGACTTTAATTTTTAAAGTAATTCTTTTAATGTCTATCTCCCCTGACAGACTGCAAGCTTAATAAAGGACAGAGGCTATATATATTGTGTTCATTGCAATACAGCACCCAGCAGCATATTTTTGCATATAGGAAGAGGCCAATAAATATCTATGATATCTACTTAAGATCTTTGTTGTTAAAAGAATATAATCTTGGTAAGACACAAGAAACTTTTGCATATACATCTGCAGCTAAAATCTGGGAAGCACTATAGCTCTCTACTCACAGATCAGAGTACCATTCCTCACAGACACCAATAATTGGTTTCTAAGGAAACAGGGATAAGAAGAATTTGAAACTATGCAGAAAAAAATCTTTAAATTATAGCAGTTCTGCATTTCCATTACCTATATCCCCTTTTCCAACGTGCAGAGATAAATGGGTCAAAGAAAAAAAAAAAGGGCAACAAGTGAAAAATAAACTCTTCTTTATCGCTCTCTAAAAGAAGAGTGGCTGTATCTGTCAGCATACAAAATGGAGATTTGGAATGCTACTTGCCATTAGGCAATCAAAAAACTTTTTAACAATTCAGCATTACAGGGAATAAGACCTTGGAAGTATGTAAAAGAGACCAAAATGTACTGTTTTAAGGATAGTTACACACACAAGGAAAATATTAAGGGAGAATAACTGATGTAGCAATTTCAAGACCAAACACTTTTTCATCTTACAGCAGTGCAGGGTGAGGAAAGAGGAAGAAAATGCAACTGAGATGCAAGATAGAGGGAAATACATGCTCACATTCACTAATAAATACTGCATGCTGACAAGAGTACAACACCAAAATTGAAAGAAGAGCAATCAGTTGGTAATCAAAATGGGAAAAGGAGGGACTACTGGATGCTTAACACTGCCAAAATGCGGGCAGAGAAGACAGGAGGAAGGGCGCTGACACACACCTCTTGCACCAGTGTCCATGAGGTACGTAAAATAGTGGTCAAACTGCTAGCAAAGCTCAAGATACACTAGATTATGTTCTTCTGGTAGTAGGAAAAAACCAGCAGCACAGAAAAACAGGGCTAAAAGGTGGACAGACAGACCAGCAAGAAGATATGTCTTGAGAGCAGTAGTACATATAGGAAGCAGTCTTGATTGACTGGAGCTGATCATTTGGTTCATTACTTTTAACTGATTTCTCTCTATGCACTCATCTTCCTAGTATTTTTAAAGAGCCATCTCTGCATTTGCATGGATTATTTTTTTTACCATATGTATTTCATATTACCTAGGACAGACTCAAACCCATCAATCTGCTGCACTACCATATGTATTTCATATTACCTAGGACAGACTCAAACCCATCAATCTGCTGCACTGCTAGATGTTAGCTAAGTGAGAGAACAGGTTTAATGGCCCCAAATTCTGCCCCTCCCTTCCAAATGAAGGATTTAGGTCTGCTAAAAGGTACAAAGTTCTCCCTAGAGCCCAGTTCTTCTGTAAGCCATAGGCCCTTACTAGAGGTTCTCTCTCCTTCTGTTGTGACCTTTCCATCTCATTTGTCCTAGTTTTGACTTTGCTTTACATATTGAGATCCCTGGTAAGAATTCATGGGAATTATTCCATTTCTTTATGGAGTCAATACTTACTGCAAGATATATTTCAAAGTATTTAGTTTTTGTATGTTTAAAAATTGGGTCTGCTAAAAGGCAAAAGGTTTTTATTTCTCTCCCCTCTCTCATTTTACAGACCCTAAAACGGGCGTTTAAGTCGATTAGATACACCTCCTTATTCAATTTAGCCTCTGAGGTCATTGGGAATTTACAAAATAGTTACATATTTCCATGTGTCGGTGGTCTATTTTTAAGATGATTGAATTCGGCATAGACCAAAACTGGGGGAGGGTATGTGTGTGAACTGGCACACGTGTTAAGGTTTTAAGAACAGAAGGATTGACAGGTGAAGCAAAAGGTGTGTGGCCAGTGAGGTGAAAGCTTTTCTCTTACAGAAACCCAAAGACTCAACAGCACATTTCCTAACGGGAAGGGCTCCTAGGCAGAGGCCTCCACGTCCTTCATTCTCAAGAGCCAAGTCTGATCCCGGTTTTGGGTAAATCTTTCAGTCTCTGTTCTCAGTAGAGTAGGCTTCTTACAAGAAAGTAAATTATGGTATATGTCTTCACCGTTTCAGGATAATAACGGGCTACCCATAAGGCAGGCTTGGGAGTTGTGGGGACGACAGGGACACATGAAAAAGGGGCAGAATCCGCGCCGTCCTGCGGCCCCCCGGGCCTGTCAGCAATTCGCCCACCCACTCATCCCCATTTTTCAGTTTAAACTTACCAGGTGGGAGCTACGGCCCTGGGAAGGGAGTAAGTAAGTGGGCTGGGTAGGGTTGAGTTCCGCTGCGCTTCTTAGAGACGCTTCAGGGACGAGGCTGAAACCCAGTAGCCGCCGCCGCCGCCACCGCCTCTCTTACTAGGGGGTCTCGCCTCCATCGCTGGCTGCGAGGACTCTGAGGGCACGTGACCGGAAGCACCAAGGCGGGCCTGCAGGACACGTGACCCCAGAGCGTGGCCGCCATGACACCTTCCGCTGGTTCCCTCCCTCCCGCGCCGGTTCCCGCTTGTTTCATTTTCTCTCGCCGGCTTCAAGTGATGAAAGGTGCCGGTATCCTGGATGGCGCACTCCTTTGGCCTAGAGAGCCTCGGGTCGCAGCTTGAACTGTGTCTTAGGCCGGCAGCTGCCTGCTGACTACAGGCCGCGGAGAGCGTAATTGCGACCGCGGCCTGAGGGGGAGGGGCCACACGCAAGCTGGGGCGTAACCTGTCACGTGACGAGGAAGTACCGTTAACAGTGCTGTCCTGGCGTCCCCGGCGCTCCGGGATGACGTAAGCCAAGGAGAGGAGGAGCGAGAGGGGAGACAAGCTCCGGTGCAGCTCCAGCGCTGGGTGAGTGTACCGGCGCTGAGCCGGGAGAGACGGCCTGACTCATAGAAAACTGGGGACTACTGACCTGGAGATGGTTAGGACAGGGTTGAGACCTATTGGCTGCTGGTCTGTTAGTTGGCTTTGATAAGTTGATTCCTGAGGCTCCTCTCCTCAAGCAATCTGAATACAGTATTAAAGTTTAGCTGTTAAAAAGTTAGTAGTTCCGCTGGGCAGGGAGATTCTTGTAGGCAGGGAGTGTCTCCAGCGATGCGTACAAGACATGTCGAATGCATGAATGAGTCGCCATTTCTCTGAGGTGGAGAGTTCTCTGATTCAACAGAGTTCTCTGATTCAACATTATTATAACTTTTTGGGTAGAAGGATCCAATTATGGAAACGGGGGCATCTCCTACTTCCCCTTCGCATAACTTTAGTTTTTGCTGCTTTTTCTTGCCTCTTCCTTCCATGCACCTAGTGGGGAAAAGAGAATGTTGTGATTTGCGTTTGGCGTGAGCAGCATACACTGGTCCATTAGTTAAGTGAGTATACAGTACTAGGGGGATGAGAAAACCTTTTCTTGATCCTACTACTCGATTATGTTGCCATCAAGTAATTTGGGCAAATGGAAAGATGATTAGATTTGGACTCAGGAGAAGTGGATTCTAGTCTCTGCTATACCTTTTAAGAGCTGCGACTTTGGGCAAGCCAACCCCTCAAGAATTTGTTTCATTGACTTTGGTAAGCATTTATAGCCACCTCTTTGCTTCGTTGTTTTGCTAGACTGGAGGTTTGACATACTTTACAGAAGTAACATTTAAACTTAGATTTGCAGGAAGATAGGGTTTTGTTAGATGGAGGAAGATTCAAGAAACACCATATATTAAATCATGGAGGCACAGAAAGTTTATAGAATGAAAGAGGAACAAGAGATGGCTAAATATAGTTGGAGAATGAATGGGAGAGAGGAAAAGGTGGGAGATGAGGATGGAGAAATAGAGATGAGATCATAGATTATGTAAGAAGGGCAGCTCTTGAAGATTTGTACACTGCTTTTTTTAAAGTGCATACTGAAGAAAATCTTGTTATGGGACATTTTAAACAGAAGTAGACAGGATAATACAATGAACCTTCATGTACGTACATATAATCCAACTTTAACAATTTTCAACTTTCTGCTGTTCTTGTTTGTACGCTTTTGCATTTGTAGGTAATTTTGTATCCCTTGTCATGTATAGTTAATAGCAGCTTTCATTTTGAGCTCAGTTCTACTGTATCTAGGTACTGGCTAGGAAGATTATATTCAGTTTTGTGAAAATTTATTTGGATTTTAGTTGACCTCTTGGTTCTGTTGAATCAGAAGTGTGACACAGCAACTTTAAAAACACATCTGATGCTATTTTGGGATTGCTATTTTACCATAGAAAAGTTTGACCAGTTTTCTTCTTAAATCCTACAGTGTCCATTCTACTTACACTGTTAAATAAATAGACTGAGATATGATTACAGAGGATCTTGAGAATCTAGACTTGATTTTTCTGGGAGGTTTAGAGTCAGGGATTGATGCAGTACAAGCTGACAGTTGCATATAATTTACCTATGTATGTTTTTTTTCCACCTAGATGCTGAGCACCTCCAGAGTAGGGATCTTGTGCCTTTTTCTTGTTTCTTTATGTTCTCCACATATTTATTAAATGCATGCCGAATTAGTGGTGAACTTCTTAAATTATTTTTTTGCAGGTTTTATTCAGGAATACTATGCCTATCATTAAACACAGTTCCAACTTTCTGGCTAAATGACTTTTGTGCCAATGATACAGGAGCCCTACAGCCATGTTCTTGCAGAGTTTGAGACTCTGGATCCATTACTTTCAGCCCTGAGGCTGGACTCCAGTCGTCTAAAGGTGAATTTCTTGATCCTTGTATCAATTTCATTTTCATATTCATATATTTGTGTGCTCTTCATTACATTGTGCCCCCTGCCGTTTAGTTTGTTATGTTTTATGGAATCTTGGGTATTCTTACCTGTGCTACAAATGCCTTATATGGAAATACCATGTTCATAGCTCTTTCTTGATTTACTTTTTGAGCTATCATTTGAGTTCTTTTCCATCCTTGGAAACCATGATATTGATTGCTGGGTTTTTTTTCCCCCTCTCAGTAATCTTGCTATCTTCTCTCAGAAAGTAATATATTTGATTGAAAATAAAGTAGTGTAAATGAGTATATCTGTTGCATTTTGAGCAGCTTGAACCACTGCTGTTATATTATGTTCATTCCAAAACAAGGAATTTGGTGTACCCTCCTTTTTAGGGAACAGAGCAAAAGTTATTAGCTCTGCGGGAAGAGGTATATGTTTCCCTCAAATTCTAAGTTCCTTTGATAAACTCAGGAATGACATGGTAAAGAACAAGTCTCATAATCAATTTCAAAATAATTTCATTCTTAGATTTTCGCTCCCACCCCAAAGCACCGTTCTAGTCTCTGAACAAGTGAGACTAGGAAGTAATAGGCAAAGTAATATGAGTTACAATTATGACGATTGATATTAGTTAAGACGTTTTTTAACTGCAGTTTACAGAGTACCTTACCGATAATGGCTTAAGCAATAAAGGTGTTTCTAAACTCCATGGAGGGTAGTGTTTCTGGGTTTAGTATAGTGGCCCAGTAATATTCCTGGGGGCCCAGGCTCTCCATCGTTCTTGTTCTACCATCATTCATATGTTGGCTTTTAGTCAGAGTTTCTGGATTTCAGTCACACGGCTACCCATAGGTGCAAGAGAAACTGGGTAAGTGAATATTTAAGTTTTCGAGCTTCCATGGTGGAAACAGCAAGGTTGAAATTGGTTGGGAATGTCTGTCAGCCAACCAACAATTTTTGCCACAACGTATTGGGCACAGCATGGTCACTGCTTTCTCTTGCGTGCGAGGAGAGGAATCAGCAGGCTGAGGGTGTGGGGAGACATAATAGTATAGTGGCCTTCATCTGTGTCCTCTGCGGTCTTACTTGGTCTAAAAGCTGTGGGTGTTTTATGCTAATTATACAAACTAGAAATGATTTAAATGAGCAAAGGATTAAAGTGGTTTTTTTTATCCCCTGGAGACTTACTTAATCTTTCATCATTGTGGTCAGCATTGGAATGACCAAGCTAAATTACACAAAAGATGAATGGTCTCATAACTGGCTTTTGCCAAGGGAAAATTACTCATTTATACAATTGAGCCTTATCAGCTATTTAGAGATTCAATTAAAAATTTAAAGTCAAAATGTTCTTTCTTCTGTATTTTTCACTATATTGGAATGAGAGTATGAGTGCCATTATGTGTTGTCCAACTGGGTAGGGGGAAGAAACTGTGCACAGATCCTCAGTGCCTATTTGATTGACTGTCTCACGCTTGTCTGTTTACATGTTTTTAGTGTACAAGCATAGCTGTATCTCGGAAATGGTTGGCTTTGGGCAGTTCGGGAGGAGGTCTCAATATCATTCAAAAAGAAGGCTGGAAGCACAGGCTTTTTCTTTCACACAGGGTAAGATTAAAGGTAGCCCTGCCATATCCCATTCAGAGTGTCTTTCATAAATGCATATTTCTTCATTATAAATAATTATTTGGAATAAAAGAAGAATATAAAATGAGATTTAAAAGTAAAAAAATTACAACTTTTGAGAAGCTGCCTAAAATTTTTCTTTTTGTGCTCTAGGAAGGTGCAATTTCTCAGGTTGCTTGTTGTTTACATGATGATGATTATGTTGCTGTAGCTACCAGGTGAGAAACTGTTTTAAAATTATCTGACCTTTTCCAAATGTATTTTAAATTGACATACGTAGCTGTGCCTTTGTTAGGGTCACTAACCATCCCTGTTTGCCTAGAACCGTCCCAGTTTTAGCACTGAAAGTTCTGTGTCCTGGGAATTCTCTCAGTCCCCAGCAAACCAGGATGGATAGTTGGTCACCCTAGTATTTGTGGAAAATGCTTTTATGAGGTGACAATATTTCAATGGCCTTCAAAGAAAAAGGCAGCAAAGATAATCTAGAACATGTAAGTTCTCTTATACTGGATTGGTGAACTAATGCAAGGAAATTAATACCTTTACTTTCTACTTCCTCTTTTCTGAAGAACAAGTTTTCATATATATTTAATATAGTTGATATTGTGATGCAATTCTACCTTTTTCACCATTGTCAAAAATTTGCTTCTGTGACTCAATTCTTGCAGTCAAGGTCTTGTCGTTGTTTGGGAATTAAATCAAGAGCGGCGTGGGAAACCAGAACGAATTTGTGTGTCTTCAGAGCACAAAGGCCGAAAAATTACAGCTCTCTGTTGGGATACAGCTATTCTTAGAGTTTTTGTAGGTGATCACATGGGGAAGGTTTCTGCCATCAAACTCAACACTTCTAAGCAAGTAAAGGTGAGAACCAGTCTAGTTCTTTGTGTATGTGGATGAGATAAAAGGTGTTGTCTTACAGAGTTTAAATTGAAGGATATAATTTTATCCATTGTTTTTCTTGGGGGACTGATCTAGAGCCCAGGATATTAATTTCGAGGAGACTTGTTTGTATGTAGTACATATAATAGCCTGGTTTAACTTGATACTGTTGGCAGGAGGCTTCTGTGAGCTAACTTTAGTCATTTACACTTTGTCTATTGTAGTACTCCATGATTCACTTAAATATGTGAATTATGGCTCTAAATGTATGGCTCACTTAAATATTCTTTAATACTAGGTTATTAAGAAAGAAAAGATGCCTGTTAATAGTTGTGTGAATAAAATGTCACAACATAGAAATGGCACCAATTGCCCAGGCTCTTATTCTTCTTGTCAAAGGTAGAAGAAACTCAAGGGTCTAGGTATTTTTTCTCTGAGGATGGGTGCAACTTACTGTGAATGGAATCTTAAAGGCACCTCCTGTATTGTGCTCAGCTGGGCAGGTCCCCAGGCTTCCTGCCACAGTTACTGTTGGGATAGAAGGCACAAATCTCAGGTTATCCTAACAGAATGCTCTGGTCTCTCATTAAGCCAGGTCCACACTGTTCCTTTTCTCCAAGGCTGTTATATCAGAAGTGGGGGACTTGTCTTTTATTGGTTTATTTCCTTGTAGGATCCTGGCAGAAAAGAGGAGATCTAACTACCATTTGACTACATTATTTTGATAAACATGTCAGAATATTCTTCTGGTTTGGTCATGATTACTCATCAAAGTTATCATTTAATTCCTTACATATTTCATCCAAAATACAATTGGAACCCTACACAGAATATATCCCTAATCTGTCTTTTTCCCAAGGGAGAAGTACTAGCTACACATGAAAAATTCCCTTATATATTTTAAAATTTGCTTCATCTTTTTCATTCCAACCTCTAACACTAGATAATCACAGAACCTTACGAATTCTCTTCCGCAGTCGTATACCAAATTATTTCACATAGCTTTGAGATCCTGACAGGCAAATTAAATTTTGGGCATTAAAATTTTTTTTGTTGTTATCCAAGATATTTTCATTCAAAGGTAAAGAGAAAGAGTAATGTATTACTAAATGTAATGATAAACTTCATTTCCTTGTCATGTCCCATTTAGGCAGCTGCTGCCTTTGTGATGTTTCCCGTTCAGACAATAACAACAGTTGACTCCTGTGTTGTCCAGTTAGATTATTTGGATGGAAGACTACTTATATCTTCGCTTACTCGATCCTTCTTGTGTGACACCGAGAGGTATATTGATCAACCATGAGTCATAGGATATACAGAATTTTAGAACTGGAAGGGACATAGAAGTCACCTAGCCCAAACCTCTCAATTCAATTATACAGATGTTAATAAGGAACCAGCAGTATGCAAGCTGATGTTAGAGAGTAGAGAAGAGATAAAGGAGGCTGAGAGTCTAGTGGGTGACTAAGACAAATATTTAATTAACTCTATGTGAAACATGGTCTAAGTGTCATGAGGGAAGACCAAACAAAGGCCTTTTTAATATGGGGAATCAGGAAGTTTTTCTTGATTGAATTTATTGTTTAAATTTATTGTGTATAATGGAATTTTACTAAAGGGTAAAATTGGATAAAGAATAATTAAGAACTTTATGAAGCGGACAGATATTCCACGGAAATCTCAAGGATGGAGCCAAAGGTCTAGTGAATGGCAGAGGATTGTATTAGAGGTAGCTGTGAAATACCAGAGTAGAGTAGGAAACAGCTTGAAGTGAATATTAGGTATTGCTGCGCTGAAGTTCTTCAGCCTTTCTCGCTGCAGAGAAATTTTCACTGCGCCCCCCATCCCCTCCAGCTACCTTATTCGTTTTGAACATACATAAAGGAAGAGAGAGTTATATAACGAACCCCTGTGAATCTACTAGCCAGTTTCAATAATTTTGATGAGGATTTTTGGTAGGTGAAATTTGGAAGAAGAGGTGTAGTAGGGGATATTCTATTCTAGCAGGAAGGAACAGCCCTTTAGGGGAGGAGTAAGAAAGAATTAGGTATATTCTAGAACCTGCCAGTTTGGCTTGTGAAGGGGAGTTGTGGGAGATAAGTTGGTAAATTGGCACCACTCTGAGAGTGACAACCTTAAATGTCATCCTGGTTAAGTAGGTAGGTTCTCAGATCATTTATAGAAAATCAGAGATTGGAAATTGATTCCCTTAGAACCATTCAGGCTTGGGAAGTCTTTATTTCCAGGGGTTCTTGTATCTCTGAAAACTGCTATTTTAGAAAGCAGGAATATTTATTCCAAAACGTTTGAAGGAATATACGCTAACTTTCAGGGATGAAGACAAGATGTACTTTGTTTTTATTTACTTGGGATGAGAAAGGCATGTGCGAAGGATGCCAATTATAGCAGGTCTCAGGTGTCTGGTTTCAGAGAAACTAGCTGGGCAGTGGAGAGCCAAAGGCTTGAGATACAAATGGTCAGTTTATATGGAATTAGGAAAGATGATGTACTTGCTTCTGACTTTTTTCAGACTATAGATCAGTAATTGAGTTAAGACTTACAAGAACTGGAGATCATCTAGTGTCACCCTTTCATTTTTATAGATTAGAAAGCCTAGGCCTGGTGAGTGATAAAGCTTGCCTGACATCACATAGCTAGGAAGAGGCAGGCAAGATAGGACATTGCGGTTTTGATTTGTGCCCTTTCTGTTACCTCAGTTACCTCTAATATGTCCTTTGACATTAGACCTTTCATCATTAACTTCACTTTTGAAATTTTGGTAAAATATTTGTTAGTTTTACAAAGTTCTTAACTATTTTTCATTTATAGGTTTTCAAGTTTACCAAATGGCCCACTTCAGAAATTTGGCTGGAATTCTAACAAGTGGGCAGAATACTGAACTGAATGAACACCCTCTTGGGGTGGTTTTGAGGATCTAGTGAAGTGGTGTATGTGAAAGGCTTTTTAAAATTAAGAGCTAAATAAGTGGAGGTTTATTTTTCTTTGTGCAGTAGAGTTGCTAATCATTTTCTTGTTTCACAGGGTTGTGGCTAGAGTTGGTTATGAGCATAATATAGAACCTGCTGCTAAAATAACATGTTTTAGAAATGCTCATTTTCTGTAAGCTAGAATTCTGTTTTGGGGGACCTGGATAGCATAATTTTAAAAATTCATTTATTTTAAAAACTTTTTATTTGTGTCAACCTATAGTTCCTCCCAACAAACAGCATTTTTTTTTAAAACAGATTCCTGCTAATCAAAGAAATAGATATGAATTTGGTTCTCCTTCCAGCCACTGTCTACTTTGTCAGTATTGTTAATGATAAAGGTGGATCTTAGGAGGAAATAGAACAAACAGAAACAAAAAGCTATGATACAGTGGAGAGAACATTGGTTAATAGAATCTGACAATATAATTTCAAGTTCTGGTTCTGCCACTTTTAAACATTGCTAAATGTCAGTTTCCCCTTCCAGAATGTAGAGATTGTTTGCAGGATTAACAAAGATAATGTATACGAAGTACTTAGCCTTTGTGCCTGTCACATATTGTTTGAAAATGTAGAAAAGATTAATGAGCATACAGCATTGACTGTATTTGTTCACTCAGCAAACATGTATTGTACTCATCTGGATCTTTAGCACTGTATTAAGCACCACAGAAGATATAAAATAAACAAGAAATATCTTTTATTTTCCAAATGAGGAACATAAGTAATAAAACCAGAACTTCCGATATTGTACATTTCAAAGCACTTTCACATCCATGTTCTTATAGTAAAGCTGATGTTATATTTTATTCACGAAGCAGAAAAGTACAGAGATATCTATTGAATTATTTAAGGTCACGTAGTAAATTCACACTAGAGAGCATATTAGATCATTCTCCATTAAAAGCATTTGAGTATATAGAGCACTACAATGTATTGAGTGCTTTTTGCGGGCCAGATGCTGTGCTGTATACTGGGAATTCAACCAAAGAGGAATAAGAAATGGCCTTTGTCTTGAAGAAAATCATAGTCTACATTTCAGATAGACACAGTTGCCATATGTAATGTAAGTGCTATGAAAACATAGCATGGGAAGCATGTAATTCAGCTTATGGGAGTTGGAAATCTCAGAGGAAGAACGATAGAGCTAAGTCATGAAGAATACATAAACGAGTTTTCAGGAAGAGACATCCTTATCATTATCACCTTCCATGGTCCCAGAAAATGTGCTAAGCTCTTTTATTATCTAGCTTATGTAACCATAAGAGAACAGAATATTCCACAGTGCAGAGTTTCAGAAGGACTTAGCATTTTGAGGAA